AGTTGAAATTTTTATAAAGTTAAATGAGCATACAGAAGCATGTTCATATCTAAATCAATTACTTTATAAAGATCCAACTAACATAAAAATTAAAGCTAAATTATTTGAGATTTATAACAATTTAGGAAATGATTTTATAGCTGGAAAGTATAAATCATTTTATGAAATTTATAGTAATATAAATCTTAAAGAAAATAATAAACACATATGGACACCAGATGCCTGTCAACTTAACAAATTTAGGTATTTCAAAGTATTAGATGCTTTTCATAGGGGTGTACCTGTTCATAACTATACAAATGAATTGTTGGATGATTTTTTTAATAATCCTTTTATATTACAAGAAGATACCAAATTTGAATCATTTTATAACAAACTAAAGGATAGTTCTAAATTAAAAGTAATAAGTAAAGAAACAATGATGTTAACAAATGTTAGTGGAGTGGTGAATGAAATAGCAATGGTTGAAGATAACACAATCAAAGAAGTGTTAAAGATAAGTAGTTTACATGGACTTGAAATAAAAGAATGGTCATTTATTGTTAAAGAGTCAATTAAAAGTCTTTATAAAGAATTACTTTATGAACAAGCACTTGAAATTGTAATTAAATCATTAAAGACTAAGTTGTTGGAAGAAAAATTTTTTATAGGGTTGTTGGGAATAAAAATAGCTATAAAATCAAGGTCCTTATCAGAATTGATAATATTAATCAGATATTTTTGTAAAACTTATAATTATACTTTTTATTATTTTTATTGTTACTTATTAAGACATATTAATAGATATGAAAATTCATCTGAATATACTCAATTTAATAGAATGATTCAAAGAAAAATGCTTAAAGATAATAATCCAGATACTCTACCACTACTTATTTATACATACTTGCCAAGATTTAATTTTGTTAATACTATAACTGATTTAGCCGATAACTTTCAAACTGATAATTTTAATATAAATCTTATCATAGGCGCTTTACTAATTGGACATAGTAGATCAAGAAGAGCTAAATTTCCCAAGAAATTGGTTCAAAGGGGATTTAAAAGGTTAAATGATTTAACTGAAAATACACAAGAAGAAATTGACTATAAAAACTATAATATGGGGAAGGCTTTTCATTATTTAGGATTAATTTCTAAAGCAGAGTGTTTTTATTTTAAAGTTTTAGATTCAGAAAATGTTTGTTTAAAAAGAATGGCAATTTATAATTTATCACTTCTTTGGAAAAACAATAAGAGTAATGCATTAATAAGGCATATCCTCAATAAATATTAATTGAAAAATTTGTTTAAATTAATTAAAAAATTTAAATTAATAAAATGATATTCAATAAAGATTTTGTTATCAACAAATTTGAAGATATAAAAGATTTAAAGAATGATGAATTAGTTACCATAATACCCTCACTTTCTGATAAAAGTAAGACAAATCTCCTTAAAATACTTAAAGATGTTAATAATGTTAATAAAAAGAATTTAGAGGCTAAAAGTGAAAAGTTAGAGAGTGAAAAGAGTTTAGCACTTACCTTGTTAAACAGACTTTGGAACTTATTAGAAGATAAAGAAAATCTAAATGATATTTTCAATGAAATAAAAGATGAAATAACAAAAGCTTAATAAAAGATTTTAATAAAATTTTTATAATAAAATGAATTACGATCAAATAAAAAATGAATTAGAAAAAAAACGACTTAATGAGTTAATAGAGAAAGAGGATGAGATTTGGGAGGATAAAGTTAATTACGATCAAGATTCTTCAATAAATAAATTTTAAAGTAAGTTTATTTACCCTTAATGAAAGAAAGAGAATTTATAAAAAATGTGTGGATGGATAATTTGGAGGCAGAAATTGATACAATAAGACATCTCGCAAAGACATACAGTTTTATTGCAATGGATACAGAATTCCCAGGTGTAGTAGCCAAACCAATAGGTAATTTGAATAAAGATACTACTTATGCGTACCAGCAGCTCAGATGTAATGTTGATATTTTAAATCTTATTCAACTGGGAATATCACTTTCAGACGCAAATGGTAACAAACCTAATGGAGTACACACTTGGCAATTTAATTTGAAATTTAGTTTACAAAGTGAAATGTATTCAAAAGAATCTATTGAATTATTACATGAAGCTAAGATTGATTTCGAAAAACATTCTACGATGGGAATCGATCCTGCCGAATTAGGTTACTGGCTACTTACATCAGGTTTAGTATTGACAGATGATATCTATTGGATTAGCTTTCACTCATCTTATGACTTTGCTTATTTGATGAAACTTCTTACAGGAAATACCATGCCAGATAAAGAAGCAGACTTTTACAAACTATTGAAGATATTCTTTCCATGTTTTTATGATTATAAATATTTGATTAAAAATTCTGATTATATGAAGAAAGGATTACAGGAAATTGGAACATATCTTGGTGTCAATCGTGAAGGAATAGCACATCAAGCTGGATCTGATGCCTTATTAACATCAGCAATTTTTTTCAAATCAATAAACAGCTTCCTGTCAAAAGAAGCTATTTCAATTAACATGAACAAACTCTTTGGAATAGATGCTTCCCCAGAATCCAAGAATAATGAATAAAATAACTAACTAATTTATTCTTCAATAACTTCAACTTCTTTATACTTTAAGTTACTCTTTTCAAAAGCTGTTAACTTAATACCTGCATCACTATCGAGTGTTATCTCAACATTAGAATCGTAACCAATTGCTATTGATGACTCCATTGGAGAAGTAAAAATTTTTTCACTGCTATCTACAAGAGTAATTAAAGTCTTACCAGAAATTTGCTTCTCAATCTTTTGTACAGTTCCTACTCTACCAGTGTTGGATCCAAGATAAATAAAGACTGTTGAATTAACCTGAAATGGAATTCTATCAACAATCTTATTTTGTTCGATATCAACTTTAACTGTATCATTAATCTTAATGGAAGGATCAGCAAATCTAAAATTATATCCACAGCTTGTTCTAGTGTAAGGAATATCATTCTCAATATCCTTAGAAATTACTTTAACATATCTGTATTTAGCTTCCTCATCAGAAATCTTTACTAATTTAAACTTACCGTTTATTCCTAACAAAATACGATAGTGTTCATTAGCTTCTTTTACTGTAATTACATCAAACAATCCAGCACATCTCTTATGGTTATTAATGATTTTACCATTCAAGAGTAATAGACCTCTTTTTAATACATAATCAACTTCTTTATTTGTATGGGTAAGATCCAAAAGACTTGATAAGATGTATTGAATTGGTATTGAAGTTGCTTTACTGTGTGATCCTGGAAGAGGTCTTACTGCATATTTTCCTCCACTTTTCTTAAGGCCCCAACTTTTTGGTGCTGCTAATCTCTTAAGATGACGATGTCCACCGGATGGCATATTATGGGTTAAAAAATTTTTTAAAAAAATCTAAAACAAAAAATATTTTTTAAAAAAATACTTCACACGGGACTCGAACCCGTACCCCCAGCTTGGAAGGCTGGGATCATACCCTTAGACCAACGAAGCTTACTTATGATAATGAAAATATATTTAAAGAATATAATTTATATATTAAAAGACATTCTTTATTAATAAAAATTAAATAATTAAAACTAGCATTAAGTATTTATAATTAAAAAACGTGTTACATGTCTTTTAATAATTATAATCAATTTAAATTTAAATAAATGTATAATTACAAATAATTGATATCAATTTAAATAAAATCTTATCATAATTATAAAACTTAATATTTTAGTATAAAAATTCTTATTATTAGTAATAAAATGTTTTGTTATTTGTGATTTTGTATTATATTAGCTTGATTTATAAATTCTGAATGAAGAAAATAAAATAAATTTAATAAATACACATTTCGGTACTTATGTTTAATATATTGAAATAATATATACAATCTTTAAATAATTATTATAGTATAATATTATTTTACAAAATATCATCTACATTTGTTTTTAATTAATATCAAAATATTATAATATTTAGATTCTATTAAAAGAAATATTGATTTCAATAAATCCAAGATTTACTATAAAATAGCTTTGTTTTAAACTTTAATCAAATAATTGCTTAAAGAAAACTTTTTAAACTAAACAATGTCTAAGTTATAGTAGATAGATATTAAATAATAAAAAAGACCAAAATCTTCTAAAGATTTACTGGATCAAGTCCCTTTTTTTCCCCACGTGGGGAAAAAAAGGGACTGTTAAAATATTAGAAAAATACAATAAAATATTTTTTTAAAACATTTTTTAAACCCATGAATCATTGGTATAGCAGAGT